TACTTCGTTACATTCCACCACTGCATTTTAGTATGTGTCTGCGTGAGATAATCGAAGCTGCTAACACATACACTCTTGAAGCTCCGCCCACTGTGCTCACCCTCAAAAACTTTGTGACAACTTTAACAAGCTATATCAAAATATCTGTGGGGTAAAACTTCACATACACACTCTGGGGACATCAGAGATTTATTTTACATCTTGTGAAAAGGGAATTATACCACTGCTTTAGTTACTATTTGGACTGATTCAAATGGGAATCATAACAAATTTAACATTTATCTTTAAGTCGGCATGAAATGGAAGTTGCGATGGTCTTTATCTGAATTAAATGGCTTCTAGAACAAGAACAAAATGTAGGGCGGGGCTTGATTTTGTCCACCAGGAAATGATTGGCTGGTTACTGGTTAGATGGTTGTGGTTTGCTATTGGTTGTTCTCATGTGAGTGACAGGTAGTCCCGCCCTCGTACCAGTAAACATGTCATCAGAGAAGATGGGAGATGTAATGAACTAGTTGTGATGAGCGTTTTGATTCAAGAACCAGATTACTTGACATCCACTCAAAACCCGCTTGCTTGAGAAGTTTTACAAGCACATCTTTGTAAAAATCTAGGCTAGTTTTATTTTAGATGACTGGTCACAAGTTATCACACAGCAGACAATCATTTTAACATACATTCTCAACGGCACGCAAGGGTTAAACAGACTGGCAGAGACAACTCTCACAATGAGTGTGCGACAGAACAAACGCTCTCCTCTTTTGTTTAGGGCCTCTCTGTTTTCAGCCGGGCTCCTCCCAAGAAAAACCAAGAGAGAGCAAGAGAAAGAAGGGGGGGGGCTGTACTCCGAACCCCAAAAGACATTTCCATGGATGTCCACTTTTAGTGAAGCCCACCCCAAACTCTAGACCTCCATTTTCTCACTCTCACACAATCTGGATTCTCATTCAATCATGTCTTCTCCCTAGAGCCTCAACTCCCATTTCCTGTTTTTACACAGAAAGCCCCTCGTCCAGAGAATCCTATTCAGCGCCGTTCTCCTCGCAGGGCCTGGAAATCAGCCGGACAAGTGGCGTTGCGCAGTTTCACAACAGACGCTGGGTGACTCCACCCTGACAGCACACTGCCCTCCACTGATGCAGTCATTCTGGCTCAAGAATGGGGATTTCTAGAGCCAGATTTGTGGGCAATATGACTGAAGGAGACTAAGGCAAAGGGCCCGAGACAGGGACATGGCCTCTGGGTCAGGTGAACGTACGTGTTCTGCACTGGTAAACATAACACAGAGAGAGGTTATCTCATTTAAGAGCGCCAGCCCTCTGGGTGTTAAGTAGGCACCACTCGAACAGCACTTCATAAAGATCCTTTGAAACATCTCCAGGCTCACATTCACTACATGTTTTCAGAGATGTGAAACCTCTCAGAGACATGTGTCAGGTAGACATAAATAAAACAGGACTTAAAGGGATAGTTCAACCAAAATTCACTCCAAACTTCTTGAGCGAACATAAAATAATGGGGTTACAATTATCCAAATCTGTATGACTTTCTTAGGGGCCTATGATTTCCGCGATGCGGAAAACACGGATGGAATCCAGTCATAAAAACAGAACTTGCAGTATAACGTGGAAATTCGCAGAATTTGTCAAGTCTTGGATGAATAAATTGGATTTTGGATTAAATCAAATCACGATATAGACTAATGTTTGTGAATATTAAACCGACAAAAATACTATTTGAATCTGAATCCTGCATGCTCTGAGTGTTTCTGTTTGAATGAATGGCGCAGATGCACGGTTTCATTAACCACATAGGCATACACACTGAATTATGCATGACAAAGCATTTTAGCCTCTGCCGTTTCACTATATGAGTACATGAATAAATGAACTTAATTTCTGAGTCTCATTTCATCAACATTTTACTGTTTTATTTGAGAAAAAACTATTGTCATATCATAAAACGCACAAAAACTCAAAGCTCTTCACGGCAACCCGGCAAAATATAAGTTTGGTTTAACCTTAAGAAATTATGACAAAAATATATTACTATTGCATTGTACTATTGTACTATTACTATTGTGTATTGTATTGTACACAACACAGAATTTCTGGGGGTTCAAATGTAATTAAACCATTACATTTAAATCCAGACAACTTAAAATAGAAAATTACAGAATTTGATTAAAAAAATGTTTTTTTTTTTCTGTAGAACCCAAAGAGGATATTTTGAAATAAACACTTTTGTCAAAAATAAACACTTTTGTTAAATTCTGCCTTTTTTTTCTCAAATTGTTTCAAAACCATTTGAATGTAATGTAATACAATGGGGTCCATTAGGGTTGTTTTGGACCCCATTGACTTTAATTACATGGACAAAAACAAAAACACTTTTTTTCAAAAACACTTCTTCCTTTGGGTTTTGCAGAGAAACGTCAAAGTAAAAGTCATGTTGGGAGTGATTTTGGGGTGAACAATCCATTTAAGCTTACTTTTTAGATGGGTACAACAAACAAAATACAGGAAATGGGCTCTATGCACGGCGTTATTTCCGGTGAAGGATTAAGGATGCTCGATAACTTCCGCCGATCATAGAGTCCAATGCAATACCGAGAATTTATATTGAATTTTATACTCCATGGTTATACTAATGAAACGTTAGTCACAAAAACAGATAAAACAGACACCCCTCGTTGTGTTTTTGCTTCTTTTTAAAATTATATTAAATAAACATAACTATATATAAAATTACATCAAAACGCATGTACGTTTCGTTTCAAAGACGGGAGGACAGTAAATATTGAAGACTCTGCCATAATCTCGTTTTCTCCGGTTTTCCTCCGCTTTAATCTACACAACCGGAAATGGACGAGCATCCTTACGTCAAATGCGGAACTTATGCGTGCATAGCCCATTGTCAGAAAAAAAGAAGAAACAGAATCAGGAGATCTTGCAAGCGAGATTCAAGATCAAATTTCCCTCATGAGGACCAAGGCTCAACATTGCACAGCATGTCTGCTACTTGCTAGACATTATTTTACATATTTAGAGAGAAAAAAAAACTTAACTTGTGAGATGGATTTCAAGTGTCAAGGGGTGGGTAACATGTAGAAACACTTTCACTCGCCAATGTCTCACAGATCTCACGAATCTGATGTCAACCCACAACAGCACAGCTTTATAGCGTCACAGGTCTGCCCATGGTACAAGCTCAATCCGGGCCATTGAGACTGATTTAGTTTGCTGCTATGTTGCATTGCAAGCTAGCCTAGAACATGAACGATTTCTGTTGCACTTTCATGTTATTTTTAGAATTTCATGCGTTTTTATTCTTGGATATCAACGGGCATAAATAGAGCAAATCCCTGACTTGAGGAGAGCTCTGTTTTTTTTTCTCCACACACCTTTACTGTAATGTGAAGGTCTGCTAACCAGATGCTGAAACGCAGCAGAAGGCTAGAAACAGGAAAGGAAGACATTCTGCAGCGCGTGCAGCCTTTCAACATCCTGCCAGACTACGTGTACGGCCACATACAAATAGCTGCATCTCGCGGGTAACAAAAACCAAAAAGATCTATCTGCGCCGAACTACTCTTGAAGCGGACCACTGCACACATCATGCAATTTAACATGAATATTCGCCTCACGAGTCCCCGATACTGTCGTTAAAATGGGGACTCGCCATGTGTTGTGTGTGCGCCTCATAAATAAGGAATAAAACATGCACAGAGGCAGCTCTCTAAATAAAGGTTTGATGCGAGTTTCCAGCAACTTGCTTTCTTCGGATGAGGGTTGGTAAATTATGCATGCTCACCGGGACCATTATATGGTACGAATCTAGGCCACTAACTAAAACACTCAACCTCCCGAAAACGAAACTCACTAAGGACAGAGGATTTTACAGAAAGCTCAAAGCTCTCTACATTCATTCACATTAAAACAAGTACACTTTAAATGTTTGACTTTCTTTTTTTCTGTGAAAGCCAAAGATATTTTGAAAAATGTGTTTGATGAAAACTCATCATGTTCTTTCAAAATCTGTGGCTAAATATTGCAAAACATCCTGGAAACTTTGTCAAAGGATGGCAAAAAAATGATATTTGTGTCTTTTCCATCCTCACACAGTTATTGTATACCTTGACACAATATGGCCCACAAAAACACATATAAGATGCTTTTATTGAGAGTTTAGGATGCTTGACATTTTCAGTCACCATTCATTGCTGTGGCATAAACCAACCTTTTACATTTTGTTAAACTATTAACACCCTACGGGTTAAGAAAAAGAGATTTTCAACTTTTATAAGGAACTACTATTCCTTTAATAATGCAGAATCATGCAGGCTAAAACAGTACTACTTTTTTGTAAACAAAAACTAAGGCAGTCTGATTCAAAACCTAGTTTGCTGCCAACTAAGACAGCATTTTGTGAATCACAGGAGCCCAAGCATGCTGTTTAGGTAGGCAACCTATTAAGTTTAGACACTACCAACATGCTGCATGTTATTGATGTTTGTTGACATGTCTTAGGAATGAACTGGTGCAACTTTTGCATTTCTATTCAACTCTACAGGCGCATACTGGTCAATATAACAGGCTGTTACATGACAAACACAAAGTGGCAAAGGTTACGCTGAAAAATCCCTGTTAGTACAGTCACACCCTGGCAAAACAACAAAATAGTACCCGCGGTCAAACTTCAAATCATGAATCGCGTAAAAGGACATAGAGACAGTCCCGTCTTCGTGCAACTTCGGTGGGGTTCGTCTTTTGAGTTCGGGAGTAAAGATCCAGAGGCCTGTGACATCCGCGGCTGATAGTAACTCGCCCAACCCAGGCCGGAATCAGCTGTGTCGGGACTGTGTCCCTCTCCCTCCGCCTTCTGCTGTGTTTACCGTGAATAAACCGCGACTAATACACTCCAATCTAACAGATCAGGAGGAGGGGGGGTTAGGGGGAGAGGAGGAGGAGGAAGAATCGCTTGCTGTGTCTCTCTCTTACCTCTCTTATCGAGATCGTAGCCGACTACCACGAAGTAATCGGCGAGCCTGGTCATCTTATCGAGATCACAGCGACAGGCCTCGGGGGTGACTGTAGTCTTTCCGAAAGCAGACGATATTCCGATCACATTGTGAAGGCAGCGGCGACAGCAGCATCCCTCTTGCAGCAGCCCGCCGCCATACTGTCGCTGTGAGTATGTGCCGTGCCCTGACAGCGCTCTGCGCATGCGCCGTGAGCTCAACGGCGGCAGGGAGGGGCGCGCGGCCAGGGAATGTTGCGTAGTCATTCATTAGAGCTCGTGCAAAAGATACACTGTCAAAAAAAAAAGAAAACATATTGATTTGTTACCTTTAAGTTACCTTACCGTATACGATAAAAAATGAAAGGCTCTACGTAGAGGAAATGTCTAGAAAATGTAAACATGCCTTCTAGTGCAGTAATAATAATAATAATAATAATAATAATAATAATAATAATAATAATGTTGTCAGCAAAAAGTACGAATCGGCAGCATTTGCAGAATTTTACTGTAATATTAATATAAAAATGTAAAAAAAAAAAAAAGGTATTATCATGACTTTAACATCAACAATGTTATAAGAGAGCTGAGTAAGATGATGTTTGAGATTGATGCATGAAATGGAAAGAGGACAAATAATTTTGGGGTGGGGGTCCCCTTTAATCCTAGCCCCAAGAAGTCAACTCAGCTGTCATTGCTTAGAATCACACTGGTAGCATGAACAGGTGGCTCATTTGGTCGATTTTACTATAAAGACTCAATGTTTGGACAGTTGTTCCATGTTGCAGTTATGAGTCTCTTCACAGAGGAAAAAGCTGAAAGGTCCTACCGGATAACCCCCCTATCCCACAATCTGAGGCCTGTGTCCTTGCCTGTCAGCTTCGACACGCCTCCGAAAGAATTCCAACACTTCCTGTGTAAAGTCCTTTGACCCAGAGTACTTATCACAGCAGAATTAAAAACATTCACAGGCATGTTATACAGTCAGCCTGCCATCGGATAACAAGCGCCTTACAAATGACAGTAATATCCAGTAGGAAAATGCCCCAGGGAATTGGCTGTATTCATTTATTTATTTCTATTTGTATAATTCTAATTCATTTCATTAATGAACTTATATGTGTTGATCATTTTTCCAGTCACTGAGGTTGTTGAAGTCAGAAAGATCCCCAGCCAAAGGAGTCGTGTTATTTCATTGCGGGTCAGGTGAATCGCATGACACTTTAGCCCTCTATTGTAACGGCGCAAAAGAGCAAATTAATTTAAAAAAGAAAAATTAGAAAGTCTGAAAAAGGGAGAAAGATAGAGGAGTGGAGTCAGTAAAGATGAGCCCCATCCCTCCCGTTTAACAATGAACTCAGTGATCAAGTTTCCCACAATGCCTTGAGAAAAGCAACAGCCGTGCAGCTGGGCCACCTCCATATCCAGTTCCTAGGAGCCGATCGCCTATCGAGCATGCACTGCACCTGCATGCGTATCTGTAAGAAAAGTGCATTGTGGGTTACTATTGATCCAATCAGAGAAGCATCAAATTATATTTAGCTTGATATCGCAGAATAATTACACCCACCTAAGCAAAAAAAAATTCCCATGTACGTCTTTCACCACTACATGAAACAGAAAAGTGACAAGTGAAGATCACAGGAAGAGTCGTGGGTTGTGCTTTGGCCCTTTGGTCTGCGCCATGTGACAGGAAGGGCAAATGTGTAGACACGTGTTTCTAAAGGTAGTGCTCTGCGTGTAAATGTGTCCGGGCCTCCATTGCATGATACATCTGTTGGGAGAATATAAAGCAGAGTTGTTTTGGCCTGGAGTTGAAAGTCACATGACATCCTGTCAACAAACCAATAGACAGGAAGTGGTCTCTTGGCTGATTGAAAATCACAGGTAATCTCAGAGCATCCTAATTCCTTATGTCACAATCTGGACTATGAGAACAACCCTGTTAATATTGATAAATGTGTTTTGGATGAAAAAAAAAATTTTATTATTATCTTAATTAAAAGTTGAATGTGTTTTTCAATGTTCAGTGTTTCAAAGCATATAGTAACATATTACAAAAATACAAAAATAATATATGATTAAATATATAACATACATACAGCTGTTACAACCCTGGTCAAAGGTCAGGGAAAAAACAGAAATAAAAAAATCTGAACCCACAGATACTGTGTGCTTATCTTTATTTGAGATATTTTCTTCTTTTTTTTTTGTCACCACTCAAAATGCAGGCAATCTCTTCAGAATTGGGCAAAGCCCGAAACAAAAGATATCACAGACTAAACCCACAAATACTCATTAAACTACGTGAAAATAAAGAAAAATAAATGGTCTGTCCTGACTTCAACTGCACCGAAAACAGGAGAAAGGGATTTACAATCAAAAATAAAAACAATATTTAGCTGCTATATGATCTTTATTTTGTTTCTTTTCTGTGTATAGTAAATTCAGCAATTTTGAGTTTCTTACATTTGTGTTTAGACATCAAACATAAAACATGAAACATGTTGTTTACATATGCATCAGATATTCCACCCCATGCAAAACTGACAGGAAGTGACATTTAACCAAATCCATTGACAAATTTGCATGAAGACCTAGACAATGCATAAATAACATATTGGATAAAACCCTGTTTCTTTTCTTCCGTATCAAAAAGTTGAATTAACAAACCAAATAATGTCTTGTTTAATGTTTATTTTATACTTTATATTAATATTGCTTTTATTTTTATGACTATTATTGTTATTTTGGCAATAAAACAATCCAGCTAAGTTCTAGATTTAGTTTCAATTAATTAATTTTGTTTTAATTCATTTTCAATTAAAATTAAATATTATTAAATTAAACAGCTCGTAAACATATTTGATCGTTAGAAAGAGAGAAACTCTGAAAATTAAACATATGATGAAAGTAGCCTTTTATGTAGGCTATACTCATTTAAGATATTTCTCATGGCATAGTGTAGGCTGTACTTTAAAACTGAAAAAAAAAAGAAAGAAAAAAAAAGACCAAACCATGTGGTCTATGCTGCTAATAAACTTTGGCAAACTTAAAAGTTTAATTAACTTGAACAATGTAACCAGAACCTGCGAGATAAATCATTCAAATGCAGGATGGGAATATTATAACAATGAGTCATGAGGATGATGAAGTGACGGGATGAAACATAGGAGGCGGTCAGTGTTTGTTGATACACCAACATTCATTCATCTTTTATAACTGCCAGCAATTTGATCCAGCACACAGTCTCGTGCCTTTGTCTTCATCCATTTCTGGAAATATGTATCCATTGTTCCCCTGCAGTCACACCCAAACACAACCGCTGAAGCAGATTGCCATTCCCACACACACAAATCTACAGATAGCTGCACTGGCTGATGGGTAATGGTAACAGAAAAGAAACAGAAGCAGGAATACAAACATGACCGCTAACTGTAGGCCTACATCCCAGCAATGCAAATAAACTTGACTGTGAGGCACAACAAACCAGTTGCGTTCTCAAACTCAATTGTTCTGCCATCGTAAATATGCGAAGGAAACAAGCTCAGTGGGAACAAGCATGTTTTCAAATCGATTTAACACAGGGATTGAATATTTCATACTGGGGAGGAAGAAGAGTATTTCAGCAAAAGGACCGTCATTGGAGAGGTTTGTTTTTGTGTCTGAAATGTTTAAGATATGTTGTTTACGTGCACTTTGAACGTAATGAGAATTTCCCCTTGGGAGATCAAATACTATTACTTTCTGTTTTTATCTCTCATTACGTTGTTGATATTGATTCAGTGTAGTTATAGTAATGTTCACTAGGGGGCAGCATACAAGAGACAACCGTAGGCTACCAATATTGCTATCTATCTATCTATCTATCTATCTATCTATCTATCTATCTATCTATCTATCTATCTATCTATCTATCTATCTATCTATCTATCTATCTATCTATCTATCTATCTATCTATCTATCTATCTATCTATCTATCTATCTATCTATCCATCTATCCATCTATCCATCTATCCATCTATCCATCTATCCATTCACACAGTTATCCTGAACTAAAACACCACATGACTTGTTCAGTTTTGTATTGTAGTATTTGATTTGAACATGTCATGTAATTTTTCCCAAAGAATATTTTTCCTATTTGGTATATACTTAATTATTAAAACAGTTTATAAGGGAAGCTTTTTTATTAATTTTTTATATCAGCTTATAAAAACCACCACGTCATCATGTGTTTGTGGAAAATCAGCAGGCGGTTTGTGCTTTGCGGTTTGAACTGGATTCATTGGCTGCGGTTAGTAGTTACTCATGTACACTAATTGGCACATACAGCTGATGAGAGATCAGAGGAAGAGACCAATTGCTCTCGTCTGTGATTTGGCTCCACTTCACAGTTCTGCTGTCACATTTTTTTAGGATTATGTAAATAGAGCCACTTGCCAACTCCCAGACACGTACAACTTGCGGATCTCTACTGCATTATTCTGGTTCATTATTACACTATATTCACTTTAATTGTCTTTTCCAGTCACATATAAAGCAGCAGTATACATTTACTAATTTAAAGCTAAAAGAAAAAACACTAATAAATGTCCAACACTGACCTGAATAAGTGCATTCACACTGCTGTGAGGCACTGTTAGTAAACTATCTGATTTCATATAATTATATATGATATATAAAACATATATATTGTTATTATATAGTTTTTTATGGAATGTTAAAGTATTTATTATAAATTATTTATCCATGCACATCATTATTTTTATATGACATCTCATTTCTTCTCTGATGACGTGTTTACTGGCGTGAGGGCGGGGCAACCTGTCACTCACATGAGACTGACCAATAGCAAACACAACCATCTGATCATTTCCCCATGGACAAGTCCAGCCCTAATGTTTTTCTTGTTCAAGAAGTCATTTCACCTGGACATACCTGACAATACTGATGAAAAGACTATCACAACTCCCAATTCGTGCTGATTTGACCGGAGTGTCTTCTAAATCTTCTTAAATCTTTTGTGTATTTGTTATGGATGGCACAGTTGTTGCTCAAACATGAACAAATTTTAATAAAATCATTCAGAAGCTAAAATTAAAGAGCTTGTGACACCTTGATTTTTCAGGGAAAAAGGGAAAACACCACAAATTGTTCAAATGTTTGTTCATCATATGCTCAATTGGCATTGAAATTTCACCATGACTGTGCGTGAGAGAGAAAAAAAGAAGAAAATAATAATAATAGTTCAATAGACAATAAACAGTTTGAATGCATATTAGATAAGCTTACGTCATCATTGCGGAACAATACTTACACTTAAGCCCATTCAAACAAAAGAAAGACTCACAAGTGTAATTCTCCAGTCAAACACCTCTTTATATAGTATTTTAGGCCTTTTTGAACAACATAAAATGACTTTGCAGATATTAATCTCACAACAAAAAGTGCAAAAAACTGTTTGCTTCATGTGACACAATTGAAGAGAATGTCTATATGCAATCAATTATCATTAAAATGCACATTGATATATGCAAGGGTGCGTCCTGCCCTCCTGAATTTCTGAGGAAGTCTCTAAAGCATACTTATCCCCTCTGCACACTCACCCCAATGTTAGAGATAAACACAAGAGAAGGGGTATGTCAGTGAACTGGTAAAACTAGGTGGAAAAATCGTGTACATTGGGTTACTGTTACTATTTAAAGGGATACATTTTGTTTTTGATCAGTATGTCACAAACATAGCAATGCAAAAAACTATTGCTTATCTCATAAAGATATAAGAACGCCTGTTATTCAAATTATAAAGCCAAATTATAATGAGCTGCCCTAAAATGCACTATGAAGCAAGTTATGCGTAAAATAAGTGCATTTGACACCAATCAAGTTTGTTCATATATGGCAATGACTCAGAGTATACTGTGTGATCCCGTGTGTATCAGACACACCTTTGAAAAACGTGTGTCTGATACACTGTAGTCCCGCCCACCCATATTTAAACGCGCAAATGTCAGCTGAACCTCAGACTTCACAAGAGCGTGATCTTGGCGAGCGCGTGCACACCCGTGGGAAAATTTTCAAGGCAGATTTGCGCGTGGCACTATCTTAACCTGAGATAAAGGTCAGTAAAGTTTATATATGATGTACTAGTTTAATAGCCTACTCAAAATGCTGGCTATATAAAAAAAAGAAAAACTAAGGAAATATGTAGGTTATAATTAGTTGGGAACTAATCAGAGCTGCTGGACTAATAGGCTATAGATTCGTGCACCACTCTAGTTTTGTATATATTTAATCATATAATTATATTAAATGCCGGGATTTATACCAGTAGTAGCCTGTGTGATGCAAATCAAATTGCTATAGCAATATGATAGGCTATTGTGCGCGTGGAGAAAATCTAGTGGGAATCAATTAATATTTTCCTTTCCTCTATTTTAGGAACACCACAGTTCCCTGGAGTTGGAAATTTTGGGTCCAACTCGGAAGTTTCAGTAGCTGGAAATTCAATACTGACCAGGTGCATTGGAAGCCCCCTCCTGACTGGGGGCGTGAGAACATTATTTGCCCACGATGGGAGCACTTTTCCCGGTTTTTGTGTATTGCATCAGCCTGCTCTCCTCACAACTGTTGGCACTACCGGTGAGAGACAGGTAGGAATCCGCCTTTTAAATGTCTCAGATTTGTTTGCCGGTCCAAGTTTTGTTCTGGTTAAAACCAAAAACTGTCTGAAAATGCAAGTAGCCTACTTGCTTTCTGACTCGCAGAAATTTTACAGATTAGCCTACAGGTTTTCATAAATAGCCTAGAATTTCATTAAAATGCGCAAACACCTTTTTAAGCAAGATATTGGCCATTTATTATTATATTTAGCCTATTATAAATGTAAATTATGTTTTTATGAACTGGATTAGAATGAAATTTCAATAAAGCCCCGTATTAATAAGATGTATTTTAAACAGCAAGAAACGGCTTTATTGAAATGTTTTATGATTCTTTAAAACGGATTGGTCAAAAGAACCGAGTCAAATGCGCAAATTCAATATTTGCTCCTTGAAAAAGTTAAACGTACCTGTTGAAAGCTACACTTAACTTTTTTCCCCTCGAACTATTTTGAATTAGGCTGGCACCAGGGATGTGTTATGTTAAAAAAAATGTTATTATACACAAAGAGAGGATGTTTTGTCGCGTCTCGCGATGGATAGGCTGGTTGCAGTGAACAAGGTCAGTTAGGATGGTAGACGTGACTGTTTAAACGCACGCATCCCATTCATTCACCAGCATAGTTGGCCGCCTTCTTCATGGTAAAGCAAACTTTATACTGCAAACCTTTACGATAGTAGTTTATACAGATAAAGAGTTTAGGCTATACATTCTTATATACAAAGTTTGCATGATAACAGTAACGGTTTGAATGCGCATTGAATGCTGATGTAAAGAGTCACATGACCAGAGCTGTTTAATTAATTCCAGTTTGTGCCTCTGAAAGATGATGGCAGGGTCAAAGCTCCAAATAAGCATTAAACATGTAGCTACATAAATATAATACTTAAAGGGTATATTATTAATATATTATTAATGAGTACTCATATAAATCATGCTCACAACAGATATTGAATTTGAGCAGGCAGTGGGGAAGCCCAAAACCTCATTTTGGATAAGGAACTAAGTCACATTGTGAAAAGTCGATTTCCAAGTACTTTTACATGTGCATTTATTATTGAATTTTCATTTCCCTTTCCCCAAAATTGCCTGATATAAGAAAAACTTGAAAAGTTTCTATAGCCTATCTTGTAACTTTTAGACTATATGGTAGTTTCCAGCCTGTGACCTAAACACTCTTTCATAAACTTTACCGAATCGTTATTAGAAAACGGTGTGCAGTTTGTGTCCAAAGAGTAAAATCTTAGATTAAACGGGTTCAGATAAGACCGTTTTACTATGTACAGTGTGCATATAAGGTAAGCAGCTAAAGGAATTGCATCATATAGTTTTTGGCAAACAAGTCGTTTGTCAATTGGTGCTCATCATGTGATTAATAAAATACTTTGTCACTGCCATGCCTTCAAAAGCTACACAAATGAATGTACAATGTGTGTTTTTTTTTTTTTTTTTTTTTTTTTTTTTGAGCAATGATAAATGTTTTATCATTTCTGAGTCAAGGTTAGGCGAAAAAGAAACAGCCTGTCTGAGTGGTGCAGGAAATAATGTATAATTCCTCAACAAATCTGACAAAATGGTACTTTTTTAAACAGATTGGTGTAGGATCAAGTATTAGTTATACTGTATTTTTTATGTGATTGGCAGCAAATCTCTGAATTTGGATAATGGGATAGTTATTCCTGAAAACCGCAATTTAAATGTATTAAAGCAATGACATGCTTTGTCAAGTTATTATTTCTGGCTGATGACTGATGACGGCATACAAAAGGAATGAATTGCAAATTATGAGTGTCTGTGTGCCCTCTTCTGGCTGACACCTGCATACTGTTCTCACATCCGTTTTGCTGAACTGTGCAATTCTCTTCATCTTGTTAGCCTCAGGAACAGATGAACTAAAACTGAAACTTCAGGCTTTGAAAAGCTTCAATAGAAAAGTGTAATCCCTCCCAATCTGAATGCTAAAATTTAATGGGTAGTTTTTTTTCCCAGACCTTTTTCTTACCTTCATAGTAGCTCATTAATATCTTGTGACACTCTTGCACCCAATACTGTTACATGACGAACCATAATGTCAAGGAAAGGACTGTATTTGTCCTTGACCTACAATATCAGTATAATTGTTGCACATGCATTCCGCATGCTTTTCTGCTGGTCTAAGCGATATTTGGTGAGGACATTAGACTGATATTAAGTCACAGATGTCCGACTAGTCGATTTACAGTCACAAAGAAGCAATGACCAGCTGATAAATACTGTGGTGTCAGACAGTTTCTGATTACTGCAATAATGTCAGGCGCCTTTAAAGAGACAGTTCACCCAAAATCAAAATATCTGTCATCATTGATTAACCCTCATGTCATTCCAAACCCATTTTAGAGGTTTCGTAGGATGTACACACTGCTCTTCTGCATATAATGAAGTGGCCGGGTGCTCTAAATCTCAAAAAAGCCTGAAAAGGGCATCGCTAAAGAAGTCCCTATCTCATCTCTGACCTTTCAAAGTCTCTCCCTCTCAGCTTTTTGTCTCTGTTGTCTTAATTCATCTCAGAGAACTCTACGTTCTTTACATGGACTCACTCAGTGTTCGATAACCATCCATGTACACAGAACGTACTGCAACCTTTGCCATATCAGTCAGGGATTTTAATTGTTTAACATGCTGTGACATGCTGTCCCTGAATCGAAAATGGCGGTTAGTGAAGCCCGTTGTGGTGGTTTAAACATGATATTGGTCTCTGAAAAAAAAACTACGCAAACATAGCCTAGTTTTTCCCATTACATAATACCATAAGGGTTAGTTTGTAAGAGAATATGTGGAGGCAAGAGCCAAGCGACAGGATATTTTAAACTAATTTCGGAAATCTGATTATTATTTTAGGTTAGATTATTTGCTGTACACCATATATATTTCTCATTAGCGACTGTTTCTATGGGCCTCCACACGTACGTCGTCCACCATATTGGAACAGTGAAAGCTAGTCCATGAACAGTTGAGAGCAAGTTGACTGAGCGTCTGCAACCGTACTTAGATGCATGTTTGATTATCTATATCTGCAATAGACTTCAGCAGATGATTTTGCTAAACTGACACAGTACGGCAAGACGAAGGCCTTAAAACACGACAATAAAAAGTTACCATAGTAAAAGCAAAAACATTAAAAAGTACCATTACCTGTAATATTGAGATAATATTCTCACCTGTGAAAGGTTATTTATTTCTTCAGAAATGTAAATCTCAGCGTTCACAACAAGAATCTGCGCAATGTTGAGTGTGAGTGTAATAAGTAATAGTATATATTACTATAATAAGTACATAGTATGTACATGGGTAACAGGACTGTAAAAGGAAGCGCTACCCATATGATCCTCTATAATCAGGATTTAAGGTTGATGTTACTCTCTATCATGTAGGGCATCAGACAAAGCAATATTCTTCTGTCAATGAAGTAAAATGCTGTTTGGTTGTCATAGTAAGCTATTGATTTCCTTCCTATTGTGAACTCTGGAGGAAACAAGTCCTAAAGCTCACTCAAGGGGAAGCATGCTGTTTATAACAAGTTGGGTCACACTCAATGGGAATCTGGGCTGGTCATGTTTGGACTTGAGTTATGCAGTCCTCCATTTACAATATAAACATTATTATTTTACACCATGCCGCTTGGTCATTATTGTTAGAGGCGAGAGGGAAAACTCATCCGTCAGGCAGAATTCCGTAGTGGATTAGTAACTAAGACCTAAATTCCTTTCTCCTCATCCTCGGGCGGCAAGTTTCCAGTCTGATCAGAAACCATAAAAGCCATAAAAACAAACAAGAGGAGGAAGGGCATAAACAGCCCCTATCAACACCATAATCTAACCATTAACAGATTTAAATCACTTTCACTTTTGCTATCCACAGTTTAATGCTTAACGTGCCTATACACATTTATATGAAATATTTAAACACCGTTCCACATGAATTCCAAATAAATTGTAAATTATTTGGAATTTTAAATTATATAAAAAAATGTCATATGTATATTAAACATATTATATTAAGTAAACATATTATGTTTAATATTTAACACTAAAAACAGTATATATTCCCTCCAATACTGAACATTCGTTTTTTATCCCACAGTTTCTGAACATAAACTTCCCATTATGTGCATTATGACCATGATAGAAGCTGGTTTTAATGGAAGAAGCATCTCATAGTAATTAGAGGAGGTCACTTGGTTTGACTCATGGTCACTTTTCCCATAAAAGAGCGCAGGTACCATAATCAGTTTTTTTTTTTCTGTCCAGCTAAATATAACCAGTTGATGACCAATTCACAAACAGCCATGACCAGTTTCATAGAGGTGCAAAAATCCCAGCCTTACAGCAAGAACAAACAATAGTACTGGATTGATCTGGATATATCTGACCTGCCTCTCTCAGTGAAGCATCAAGTAGTAAATCACAATCAAATATAATCAGATCTTCTTGTTTCCCCACATAGGATTTGTTACCACAAGGCATCACAGGGTTTTCGTGGCAGTCCGCCAGTACCAGACCGACACGAGCATGTTGCATTTCAAAAGATTAAATCACTCAAGACACAAAGTCCACCATCAAAGACTGTAGGCTTGTACTTCAGGACATAACCAGGTTGATTGCTCATTTGATAGAGCCTCAACTTTAATTCGGCGTAAAAACTCCACGGTTTCTGGGAGTGCCTTGTCTTTTGCAAACAGAGTTTCTGCAAAACATGATTACCACCTTTATCCCAAGATGGGTTGAATTTCGAGGGGCAGGTGCTAATTTTCCTAGCTGAACACTATGCTCAGCGTAGAAATACCCCAGAATCACAGATCCTATTTCATTGTGGTCTGTTGGTCAAATGTCGCCAGGTGAGATTTTTAATTAGCACGTTTATTCAGTTATATGGAAAGTGGCTGCCCTTCTTAGGTTTATTCACAGTATATCAGAAGGATCACAATAGGATGGAAAAACAGGACATTTCTAGAAACAACAGCCATACTTGCTCTAAGGTCCTGGCAACCTTCCTTGCAATGTGAGTGAGTTTTGTTGATGACACATAGGATGAGACAGGCCAGGGTGGTCTAGCAGACATTTTAAAGGATTGAGAAATATGGATGTGTGACAATTGAGAAGGTCAAAGGGCACCCAGATGAAGTCTACGGGCAGATTATCTCTGATTAAGCATCTAAAAAAGGTCATAGTTGGATCAAGTACAAAGAGAAACTAATGGTCAGGGGGCAAACACCTAATTTTGATCATGTGAAGCTGCTGAGATAGTTTTCAGAGGTGTGGAGACTTACTTGCTGAATTTGCAAGAATTGAGCCTAACATATTAGACCAGTGGCATTACATTAAAACGGGTGAAATTACTATTCATCTGAAACACTTTGGGCAGATAATCATTATTATTTAAAATAGGTGGTAGTTTGGTTGACCACAATGCAAAGGGGAAAAAAAAACCGCTGGCTGCAAAGTCTGAGGAAAAAAGATAAAGATAAAATAAGAAAATTCATGTATATATATATACACTCTAAAAATGCTGGTTTGTTTTAACCCAACTGTGGGTTAAATATGGACAAATCCAAACGTTGGGTTAAACATGTAAGTAAAAAATTTAACCCAATGGCTGGGTTTGTTAATATTTGACCCAAAGTTGGGTTAAAACAACCCTGCAATTTTTAGAGTGTGTATATATATATAAAAAATATAAGGATATATTAAAACATATTTAAGTTATATTAAGAATACAAAATATAATACCTAATAAATAGACCTAATTATTCAACTTTTGGATGAAAAAAAGAGCAAATGCAAGAGCAACTGATATTTCAAGTTTTTAAGCTTTCAAGAACGTGCGAGCAAAAATGCTAAACACATGTCTGGCACAAGCCAGTGTTACTCAGCATGCTTTTTCACTAAGTTTAGTATGACACCGTGAGATTAGATGGTGTGGTCCAACCTAACAATACACCCTGTCATTTCTCAAATTTCAGCTTTAGGGTTTTTGTATAAATGGGTTGCTCTTTTATAGTTATGCTTTCCCATTTCATTTGGAAATAAAAGTACAAAAACGAAGGGATCTTTGAGAATAACAAGGCTTGAAATTGCCACCGCCTTAACATGATGCACCTGCCATGATCTGCTAACCGCTGCTTGATCATTAGTGGCCTGTGCAAAAACTAAAGGTGTTCAGTGTCTAGTGTGATAATCAAACAGAGGGCAGATGGCCTCAGCCATTACTGCAAAACCGGAGTAAATCAAGTGTGTTTACCGTACACTGAGTCATCCCCTTTTTGAACAGTGAGCATTTATTGTGCACTTCCAGTAAATGTGAGCACATAAGTGTGGTTGCAGTACATGTTTGCACGGTTGACCAAACTGCACATTTATTATCAGCAGTAAATGATGCTTAATGTTGAATCAAGCCTGCAATAAATCGTTGCATAAACTCAAATTTCAATATGTGCTATTATTTAATTTTTTACAACCGATATTCATGCACTAGCTAAAGAAATAGAAAGTGTAGTTTATTTTGAAAAATGTTGGATGACCTGCCTATTTTAGAGATATTAAACACCTATCATAGCATCTATATACTTATATCTACAAAAATCAAAAATGGACTTGAAACATTCCTATATCTTAAATAATATTCATTATAAAATAGATACTAATTTTCAAATCAATTTTAATGTTAAGTAGCCACTATAAAATGTAGTCATATAATATTTCTATGAATATCATTTTTGTATATTGTGTGTTCGACAAAAGTATAGGTCAAATATAATTCAGATTGACTAATCAGAATTAAGTTTTCCATTTTTAAGTCCTACTTCTGTCTCATTGCAGGTTGGACTTCATGACAAGACTCCATCAGTTAAAAGAGGATCCCATCTCTCCAGATGTTACTGAGCACCCAAATACTGACCATGGCGTCTCCATCGACCGCACCATTCTGTGGAGGGCCATCCTCTCCAGACCACCACCTCCATGCCCAAAACGGCTCCCACAGCCAAAAGCAGGCGAATCCAGCCAAACAGATGAAAGCCCTAGGCAGAGAGAGCGTCGCAACGTGCACTCGCGAGGCCACCACAACCATCACCACGGCCAGCTGATGCGGGTCGGATGTGTCCTCGGGTACCTGCCAGGTGCAAAACCTCAGTCACCGCCTCTACCAGCTGGGCGGCCAAAGCCGGCGCGAAGACTCCCCCATCAACCCAAGCAATCCACGTAGCTACGGATGAGGACGTCCGGCTAAAACTAAGACCAAGAAAACCGTGTTACATGTCTCGTCCTGGTGTTTGTCTATTTTGTTGCAGTACTGCTGTTGTACTCTTTCCTGCTCTCTGCCTTGGTTTTCTGGAGTGTATACTGTGCCTTTTTGGACAGAAAGGACCTCTTGTTACTTGATGGCAACTTTTGAATTCAGTGCCTCTGAAACACTTTGACTTTTATGGTACTCAAAACAGATTCTTTATTTTGAAATTGTCATCTTGTTAAGTCCTCAGATAAGAGATTATGCCGCATTACATCCAGACTCATCAAATGCTGTTAACTTCTACACCACTGATCAAATCCGCAGAGGATTTAATGTGGATTTCAACAAAGTGTGCGATCGGATTTCTGTCAGTCTGAAGGCCATGTGTTCGAAAAGACTCTGAACTCTCCCACCTCGCACTTTTAAGAAGAAAGCAGACTTTCTCTGATGGCTTCGGAGCTTGTTTAAGACCCCCATCTGATACCTTTTCACATGAATAGTTATACTGCAAGTTTGGGTTTAAATCTTGGGTTTTAGACAATGGCGAATTGTGACTTTATAAACACAGTGAACCCACAAACAATACAGTAGCAATCGCCACTGAATCCGGATTAACACATTGTCGCTTTTCCATGCACTTTGAGGTCTGGCGCCTGGAATATTACACTTCACGTGATTTATAAAGTCACGAGAATGAGTCATAATCCTGCAGACTCCTGCTGGGCTTTTCCACATTTCATAAACAGAAGCAAGACTTTTCGGAGCATTCTTAAATGATGGCTAAAGCTCACCCATAAATAACCATACCCACGGTTATAGCTCCATAACAAAGGAGAAAGCATTTACCCGAAATCATTTACTCACCCTCATGTCGTTCCAAACGCTGGTCATTCTGCGCATCAATGCGTGAAGTAATGCAAGTCAAAGTGATTCACTGTTGGTTTTGGACCCCATTGACTCACACTGTATGGACAAAAAATGTTTTTTTAGTAATTATACATTTTTTACTATCATCCAATGCCCTCAAAATATTCTCAACACGCATCGACTGGCGTCATTTAAGTAATTCACAAGCTCGTTCTTGTAACTCTAATTAAAGATTGTAGTTATACCAAAATATGAGGCCCGCGTGCCAAAGTCTTTCGGGAACATGGCCTTCCAAAAACACTCTCCATCCGTGTCATGTATTTTAAGAATTTCCTTTTGTTATAATAATCATGTCTGAATACGTGGGTGGATACACACACCAAAAATACCGAGCAGACATAGGAAAAGTAGCCGATTTAAAACTCTTCCGTGGCTTTTGGGGGTCTGTGGATTTCAAGGGAATGCTGTGAGACATCAAAGTGCATGTTTGAGGATTAAAATAGCTGGAGTAATCCCAAAAAATCCTACTCAAACATCAAATACTCAATATCTGCAAGGTGTCCAGGCTAAACTCTCCGAAAGCATTAGGTTTCCCACTATGTGCTAATATGTTATAGGATTACTTGCTTTCAAATGACTCCAGAAAGGCAGAGAACTGACCAAAAAACCTGAATTTACTTGATACCTTTCTGTGTATTCACACTATACTGCTATTCAGTGATCTTTTATTTTACATAGGCTTAAGTGTTGATAACTGTAAGTCTTTCTCTTTGTCCTGGCTGATTCCAATGATGATGATCGGAAGTAATAGTAATCGCTGGTGCTTTGGCTCTAATCTGCGCAAAGGCTCTCTATATATTCGACGCCATTCGCTCTGCTGTAATCGATCCAATTTGTGTCTCGTGACTAATCATTAAAGGCTTTTAAACTGCTGAGAGCCTGGTTAATCTGTACTTTTTGTGTACATGCACAGGGAGAGCCTCATGTTGACTTATATATTGATCACATTCCTTTTTTTTGACTATTTAACTATCTATTTATTTATTGTCGGATGAGTTGTTGTGAACGTCTTGGTGACATGGGTTGGAACGTAACAAGTGCGTCAGTATCTGTTCTCGCGTGTTTGTGTGTGCTGCCCCTGTGTATCGCATATTTTCATGACCTTTGTCCCCCTTTCCAAGCAGTACTTAGTTCATTAAGAATAACACTAGAGTTAGATGAGCACTGGCACAAACTGTCTCAATGATGAAGGAATACAAAGAACGTTGTGAATCTGTGACTTTTAAAGACGTATGTGTGAGTGTGTTTGAACGTCATCCTGACCTTGAGCATAACCTTAAATGTTTTAGTTGATACTAAAGGTCAGTTGTGTTGTTACTACCATGCGAAGCACTTTAAAGCATGTTTCTATGTTTGTCACTTGAACTTGAGTTTTGTGTTTTGAATTTGAGCAGGATCTGTATGAATGTATTTTAAAGGGCGTTTTAAAGCACACTGAATTAGGAAGAGGTCAGTATCATGTACACTATCTTTTGTTTTATTAGATCTGATATTTAAATTAATGTATTTATGTTTGCATTTGTGTATCTATGTCACCAAAGACGTTATTTATCACATAAAGTGTTTTCTCACACGCCAGAGGTGTCCTCTGGGTACGACAAATTTTTATATTTTGGGAAGACGATAAAATTAGTCTGTCACGCCCATACAATGTTCTTTTTTGTCTGTGAAATAAAGCACTACGTAGTAGTGAGATGAAATCGGATGTGTTGTTCTCTTTTAAATGTGAACAGCGGTTGTTTGACACACAGACAGTTCATTAAAAAATAAATATACCAGAGGTCTAGGAAAATATGTTTTATCTGGGTTACTTGACTTATTATTCGACAGGTTTAGCTGCATGATAAATGAATCGTAAGTGACAAATAAGCCTGTAAATAGGAAATTTGACAACCCAAATCATTTATTTTTCCAGGATGCCACATCCAGATTGGGTTGCTTTAAGTCCAGGACATTACATGTATAGAAATTAATTTTAAATATATCACAATCCTTACTTACAATAGTAAAGCTTAATTATAATTAATTTGAATACATTTGAAATATGATTTATTATTAAAAATGTTTACCTTTTTTATTTCTATTCATCTAATTTAGCAATTTTTTTTGTTCTACATAAATTAGCCCAGATATTAAATCATGTTCACTTTTCACAAATGTGCTTAAAATATAACTCAGGTCCTCTAGTCACTTTGTACTGCAGTTCACGTTTAGTTACATAACGCACGACTGCCCAATACTACCTATTACCAAATATGCCTGTGTCTGTCTGCAATAGGCCTATCTGTCCAAGCTTATCCAGTATCTTTATGAATCTAAAGAGCACCGGACCCGCTCAAACATATTCCTGTAACTGGAACACCCACATTCATAAACTTTATTACACAACATTCTCCCAATGCACAAATCTGTGCTAATAAAACCAATGATGCCCCTTGGCATCAGACACAACAAGTTAAACATTAGACTGGTTAGCAAGCCAATAAAATGCGCATACTCATACAGGTCACCACGAAATTTCCACTCAGGAAAAGTTGGTTCCTAACAGAGACATTAATAAGTGACCGCCGGGCGACTATCACAAACACTACGCAACTAACAGCTGTGCAGAAAGAGCAGGTCACTGTGAGATAATCCAATCAGCTGACCGTGTGATAGTGTGACTACAGCCTTCATAGGAAACAAAATAGTACTAAATCTAGTGCAGTGAAAGGCATAAATGTTTATTTTAAAGCAGAACGCTTTCAAAAAAAGCTCAATGCGATTGGACCACCATGTCCTTCAAATGCAATAGGACCAAAAACTGCATATGACCATTTTTTTTTTATGTCATCTGACACCGTATCTCTCATATCTGTGGACCAAGAGTGGGAATGCAGATGGTAATTTCAAGCAAGGATTGCATCATTCTTGACATGTGATTTACATTCAGACAGCTCTATTTCTGATTCATGTCACAGGTTCTCATAAAAGATGTTTAAATGGTGAATTCCTGAGGCACTTCAAAGAAAACAAATATCCAAAAGTTCAAGGTTACAGAGAAAGCTGACCACCTTTAACCTTTCAATGATTCACATTCCAGAATGCAATAGGCTATGAAACACCCTTATAAGAAGCACTAAGCCACCAATATAATATTTATACTAAATATTATTGTATTCAAATAAAGGCAAATGTAGGATGGTCTTCAGCTATTTTTTTCTTTATTAGTATGAAACAGTGTTAGTATTATTTTATATACTATCATGGTTTTTTGTAATATTTTGAATGACCTTTTATATTTATATTCAGTTTTCATTTTAATTGTAGTTTACTTTTAGTGGGCCCGTTTTATTATGGGTTTTGTCATTTTAAAAGTTCTTTTTTAAAATATATACTTTAAAATCTTCAATTTTTTATATTTATAATGTATTTCAGTACTTTCAGTTAGTTGGCAAGGCAACATTTAGTAATGTTTGTTTAGTTTAAGTTTTTTTATCTAATACTATTTTACTTTATTTCAGCTTTATTTCAATTAACAAAAAAAAGTGTTAGCTAACGATAACAACAATGTCACATTCAGTGGATGGAAAATATTAAAAAGCAGATACAGTGGGGAAAATACTGAGAATATTGACCAAATTTGGCCTGGTTACGAAATGAACAAATATTGTTCAAATCATGTATTTTTATATTGTGTACTTAAGGAAATCAGGGTGGGACCAGAAGTGTCCAAACAAAATGAGTCAAATATAGACGCGCCTCATTTAACTAAAGAAAGAACATAGACACAGCCTGCCGTATTTTGCAGCATTTCAGTTTTTTCTAAGTATGAAATGGGTAATTATAGTCATTTGAGATTGTATTTAAAAACCATCATCGTTAATGATATGTCAGAATCAACAAGCATACATTTCCATGCTGTTCCAGGCTGGTTTATTATCATCTCTCATCTCTCTTCCCAGGAAGAATCTTCACTATAAATTCAAAAGCATGTACCCATGAACATGGGAGGGTGAATGAGAAACATCTTCAGGCACAATGTGTGGGAGAGCAATGAATGGAATCAATGCCAAACAAGCTTGCCCAAACAAGCAGTCATGCACACGCATGGTTTTCAATGTTTAATGTCCTGTTGAAAACCTGTTTTCGGCACACATTTTAACCTTCACTTTTTTAGGATTAGTGAATGGCAGTGAAGTGACGCAATTGACATTGGTAGGTCACATGATAATGACAATATGGCGAATGTAGTACATACATTCACACTCTATAAAAGCAGTTGTGAAGTAATTACTTAATTATAGTATAGTATTTCAGACGAAGCCTTTGTGTTTTCGGTTAAATAAGTGCATCATCCAGGTATTTAAAGTGTACATTTTCTATTTCTGTTCAGTGTGAACACACTACTCGCACTATTTATACTACACAGCAATAGTGCATAAGTAGCCTACACGAATTGGGATACACTTTCTTAATTTCTTGATTATTCGAGCTAATGTTCTGACAAGAGAACTCGTGAGGAGTGCATGCTAAAACCCACTCTTCTTGAAGGTGATGTCATATAGTCCAGCAGCCACACACAGAGCATTGACTAATAACACACACACACACACACACACACACTGTCCAGTCAGGATGAGCTGAGCTGAGCAGAGTGTTGGATTCGTTCTGCATACGTGCAGCTTCACACGGGCAGGAATTCCCAGTCACCAGCAGCATGTGGAAAAAATTACAAAAAGGAACCAAGGGCAGCTATTAATATTAATGCTTGAGTTGAATCCCCCCCCAAAAAATGAGGTTGGAAAGATTTAGGCTTTGGTTGAGTTAAGATGGTTTGGTAATGAATTAGAAATATCCAAAACTTTCACTTTCAGAATGTAATTGCTATAGAGGTTCTTCAAAAATTAGTGGTTAATGACAATTTTGTTACCATACCATGACAACGTTTTAGCTTATTAAACCTTAATCAAATAAAGATTGTTGGAGTACATTTTACAATTCTGTTTCAGTTTTTACTTCAAAATTTTACTTTTAATTCAATGTGTACTTGCCATTTCAGTAACACTTTAGAATCCATCATTAAGAACAAATGAGTAAAGCAATCTTAACATTATTAACTACAAGAAACTCTGATCAACGAATTAGTAGGCAATAACTTTGAAAGTGGTATATTTGCTAATTAATATTTTTTTCAGACCTGCTAAACAGGGTCATAATTAATGTATGTGAGTAATGCACAATGTAGCTATGATTTGTTTTAAATTAAAGATCATGGTAACACAATAATGAATCAAGTATTACCAAACCATTCGAAGGAATTACTATTTCAGTCGTTACTAAGGACTTCATGCTTTATAGCTTCAGTCCCCATTCACTGTAACTGCATGATCAAGAGAGACCACAGACTGGGAACTTTTCACAGTGCTCAAAAGTCACACTTTAACCTCACAACAAGGCTAAACACGTCACTGTCCTTGTGTTCAAATGGTGAAACCAACTTTCCCTGCATGCCTGGACAGCAGAATCCCTCCTAATCTTCATGCGCAGACTCAACTCACCTTATCAAACAATACTTTGAAAATACTTAAGAAGAAAAAAATAAACATGTTGACTTTATTTGTATTAACTTGTAGTTTATTATGTCATGACTCATTTATCCCTAGCAGGAATTGAATGCTTACAATTTGAATCACGCTTCTTTGTAAAAGCACTGGAGTCAAGTCTTTAAGCTTTAAGACAGCATGAAGTTCAAGTGCAGAATGAGAGCTTTTGACTGATGTTTGGAGCAGTCCAGAGATGCAGACAGTAATATGTGGAGATGATGTTGAAGAGCAAGAACCCTTAAACATTTACAGACTGTAGTGGCTTGCGTTCACACACAAACACAAATGCATTTTCATGTATCATGGGGACCATCCATCATTTCATATATTCCATAGACATACTGATTTTAACTCTGAACAAACTGTAAAGTGTATCCCCTACTTCTACCCATCACAGAAAACTTTCTGCATTTTTACATTTAAAAAAGTAGGTTTATTAATGCATTTTCCCCGTGGAAATGTATATCTCAGGCCTTGTAAGGACACACAAGCTCAGACTAAGATAATTACTGCATAAACAAACAAGGTCAGTGAAACTTTACAAAATCCCTCGCCTAGGGACATGCTCCACGTCTGAGGTTCTTGTGCAAGACATTTCACTTTTAATTAACAAATGACAGTGTGTAACATAAGGACACCTACATTTGCAACAAGGTAGGCTAACACTTTACAGTTAAACATATCGATTAAGTAGCTAATGAGTTCACACACAGTTGACTGTAAATGGGCTCTATGCACGGCGTTATTTCCGGTGAAGGATTAAGGATGCTCGATAACTTCCGCCGATCATAGAGTCCAATGCAATACCGATAGAATATTGAATTTTATACTCCATGGTTATACTAATGAAACGTTAGTCACAAAAACAGATAAAACAGACACCCCTCGTTGTGTTTATGCTTCTTTTTAAAATTATATTAAATAAACATAACTATATATAAAATTACATCTACACGTATGTACGTTTAGTTTCAAAGACGGGAGGACAGTAAATATTGAAGACTCTGCCATAATCCCGTTTTCTCCGGTTTTCCTCCGCTTTAATCTACACAACCGGAAATGGACGAGCATCCTTACGTCAAATTCGGAACCATGCGTGCATATAGCCCATTAAGCAGGC